ATATGTGAAGTCCAGGGCTTCAGGGTAGCCTGAAATAAGTCAAAACATCGATCAATGATGAGCATGAGTTTGATGAGTTTTTGCTCTAGCGATAAGACTTGTTTCTTCATAGTCTCTTCCTCCTTTTCTTGTAGTATTCTAGAAGACAGAGCAAGAGCGAAGGTTAAAAGAGAAGCTGCAAAGGTAATTTTCTCAGCTCTATTGTTGCTGTGCCCTACAGTTTTGATTCCATGGTGGCATGATGTTTAAGTTGCCCATAAGCATAGTGTTTGCTGTCTAAACCTCATGCCTAATAAATAAATGAAACATGTAACCTTCATACTTAGAGTCCAGCTCTCAGGAGGCTGATTTGAGCCCAGAAGTTAAAGACAAGCCTGGGATATTTTTAGTTTGAAACAGGTAAGACCAGTGGCTAGTGGATGAGAGAGAGAGAGAGAGAGAGAGAGAGAGAGAGAGAGAGAGAGAGAGACATCTTAACTAAAAAAAAAATGATCATGATCAGATGCTTGCAAAACACCAACTTTATTTATTATTGTTCAAATTTTGAGGATCATTTATAGTGAAAGATCAGAGGGTCGACTCTTTGTATGGGATTTTTTTTCATGCGCTTGGCCTTCATTAGGTTTAGTTCATTAGGCACAGATTGTTAATACTTCTCATGTGCCTTTTACTAAGATTAATTTACATTATCCATACATTTAGAGTGCACCAAGTGGACAGTACAAGATTCCAATCATTCCAAACTTCCAATGCCAAGCAGGCATGTTATCATGTTTGTCGTGGGGAAAGAACTAGTTTCTTAACCCCAATTCCCAGGGTTATTCATTTTGACTTTCCAATCACTCTTAGTCTACATCCTTGATTTTATAATTTTACTGTTTTATAGATTCCTAAGAGAAGTATGTCTGTGTAGATGACAGATTACTTCCATTTAATAAACATTTACAAGATTTTCCCCGTGTGTATTTTTAACATCATGAATGTAAAAACATCATTATTTGGGGAAAGTTTACATATTTTAAAAGTTTACCTTTAAACTGATTTTTTAAAATAATAATTGCTTCGTTAGCTGGAACTAACTTTTTATTAGTAGTTTAGATGCAAAATTGGATGTATACATTATATCTGACTAGTTATAGAGCCCTGTTAAATACCCCCAATGCATTCCTTCTGCCTCCTCTGATGGGGGTTGCTCTGGCTCGCATCCACATTTCCTTCCCTTTGAGGATCCCATCCTGAAGATAGATCAGAATCCCCAAACTTCAGACTTGTTCTCCCCTTGTATATAAACACTAATTATTTCTTAGCTGAACATGTTTTTCCCTTTTCTTTCTTAGAATTCTGATCACAAAAGAGAGCTCAGCAATAACCTCAATTCCTCCAGGAAAGGTTCCTGAGGCTCGTTGAGTCTCTTCCCCTGTCACCTTTCACAGGTTTACAGGCTGCAGCATGCACTACAACACAAATACAGATGATGCAGATATATCTAAGGGTGTCTACCAACATGTTCTGCCTTATTCTGAAGCCAAGTTATAAACATCCTGAGTGATAGTGCATGTTTATACTCTTGCTGCAAATGCCAGGACCATGTGGAATTTTTCTTCTTTAAAAAATTATAATTTCTTTTCTTCATATAGTATTTCATGTAGGATGCAATGAAATAGGATTTTATCCATCTTCTATTTCCCCTTCTACCTCCCCTTATATGTTGTCTTACACATCTTCCTTGCAGCATCTTGTCTTTTCTTTTTCTGGTAGTCCACTAAATCCAATTAGAACTGCCCATATATACATGGCTATGGGACCATTGGCAAGAGCATGAGTCCTATGAGTGGCCAAATCATCAAAGAAGAATAATTGTGTCTCCCTCAGTAACTATCCATTACCAATAGTTCCTTAATGAGGGTGGAGCTAGAGAAAACCTTGGCCCACTATGCTGGAATTTTGCCTAGCTAGATTTTGCGCATGCAGCCACAGCTGTTATGAGTTCATAGAGATGAAGGCCATGGCATATCCAACAGAAAGCAGTTCACAGCAGTCCTTCCCATCCTCCAACTCTTACATCTTCCATATCTTCCTTGGTGGTGTGCCCCCAAGCTCCGGCAGGGAGGAAGTTAACTGATGAAGATGTTCCATGTAGGTCTGAACATTCAATCTCTTATTGCAGACACTTAGATCAGCTATGTACACCTACGGCAAAAAAGAAGCTTCTGTTACCAAGGTTGAACTCAGCTTGAGTGTAGAGGTATAAACATAACTGCTTAGAATCCAGTTTGACAACATGACCCCTTATTGAAATAACAAAGGCAGGTTCTACCCTGGGCCCTGCTACTCTCTTAGCCATGGGCTTTTGACCAGGATTGTAGCACCAGGCAGAAAATTCCTTCCTTTGAGCGAGCCTCATGTCCTATCAGAAAGCAATTAGTTACTCTATACCAATTGAGACACTATTGCACCCATAGGTGCTTCTTGCCTGGTAGGTGGGTACCCTACAATGCGAGTCGAGCACTAGGTAAGACCATTGATATATTTTCTCTAGCCATCTAGATAGCATCTTTTGGTATTGAAAGCTAGGCAGCAGGAAGGTAGTTTCCAAGTCAGCTTGAGACTAATTTTCTAATTCTAGTCAGAGTGTACTGTCTTCAACAGAAGTCTTGCCATAAAGTTATGACAGTTAACTAAGAACATTGGCGATAGTTTTTTGGTATTGTTTTGGAGACTTCCAGGACTTTGCTGACCAATAGCTCATAGAGGATATCCCATGCTTTGTACTGCAATTTTTAATTAATAATGGGAACAAAATTATCTACCCATGCAGGGCAATTCTGTTTCAATTCTTTGTGTAAAATGTTGTATTAGCTTACACACTAGTGGTTTTCCATAAGGGTTTTTTTTTTGTTTTTTGCTTGTTTTTGTTTTTTGTTTTATTTCTAAGACAGGGTTTCTTTGTGTAGCTTTGGTGCCTATTGTGGAACTAGCTCTTGTAGACCAGGCTGACCTCACAGAGACCCGACTGCTTCTGCATCCTGAGTGCTGGGATTAAAGGCATACACCACCCCCATCCAGCATCCATAAAGTTTTTTTATGCACATATAGTTGTGCTTAACCTACCTTTATACCATCCTCTCCCCAGGCTCATCCCCAGCCCTATGCGCTTAATTCTTTAACACCAAGTAATCCATCCTATTCTCTAATATTTCATGTGTTCTACTATCCCTCTGCCTGTATGGTTGAATTGGGGTGTGAGGCTTACATATGGCTTTTCACACAACTCCCTCTACTCCCTGGTTTCCCACATACACTTGTGCTCTTTGCTGATAAAACCTTTTCACCCTCAGTATCCAACCACTCCATTTTTGCTTTGTCTACAGTCTACACCCTCCCTCCCTCCCTCATTGTGTATTCCTTCCTAAGGCCTCTTTCTGTTCACCTGGTTTCTTCTTGGATCCAATTTAAATATACATGTGAAACAATATATTTGAAGCTAGGATCATCATATGAGAGACAACCTAAAGCATTTGTCTTTCAGGCCCCAAGTTACGTAATTCAGCAATTTTTTTCCTAATTTATCATTTATGCTCCTGGGTTCTGTTTTCTTACAGCTGAGTAACCCTTGTGCATATAAGGTTTTGATATTAATGATTTGCTCTTAATGATTTATTGCAACATTAGTATTTCTCCTTAAATTTTCTGAATCACTAAACTTTATTTATTACTCATAGTAAGATAACATACCGAGAAGTAGTAAGTGCCTTAAGATGCGTCTTTTTCAACTTCCAGGAAATCTGCAGTGAGTTCCGGGACCAAGCAAAGGATGGGATGCTCATGTGCACTAGGGAAAATGACCCTGTTGTTGGCCCAGATGGAAAAACACATGCAAACAAGTGTGCCATGTGTGCAAGTGTGTTGTGAGTATGCACCCTAGTGTCTTCAACTAATCGTGCACCGTTATCCTTCCCTGGGTTTGAGATTCCAGGGTGTATGTTAGAAAAAAAACTTATAAACAGATGGATGTAATATTAAGTAATATTGAACAATAAAGTGACATCATTTTCTATTCACTTCCGTTCCTTCTGTCTTCTTATTATGTCAAGTTGCTAGACTCATCACTAAATGTTTATACTTGACTGTCTTCATTTACAAGAAAAGAAGAAAGCACACCTCAGATTGGATCAGGTGTTTTCTTTGGCCTCTCTCTTACCTCTGACAGTCTATGATTCTGTGAATATATTCAGATATGGGTTAAAAATAAAGTTGGATGGAAAACTGTGGAGCTAGCGTACAAGGACTGTTAAAATACCTGACCAGGAAGTGGAATAGAGAACATTCTATTTACCCTTTTAGGGAAATCATTGCCCTCTGCCAGTGGAAGGTATGGTTTGGTAAGTGCCTTAGTGGAGGGTAAAGCCCCTCAGAGAAAAGCTCACAAACTAGAACATACAAAAACTTCCGTCTATAAAGCTAGTTGAAGCCTTCTAGCTCTTCGTTTGCCAGATGATGTGGGCACACCTGTTGCCAGAGTTCTCTTATGTGGGATAATGTAGAATGTGTCCTGTTCCAGTTTTATACTGAAATCATGAGTCCAGCCCACTAAGATTTCAGTAGCTACCTTTTGAGGTTTTTCATAATACTAAGCTACTCCTGAGAGCAACCTCAAGATAAGTATTGAAAAATTATCTTCAAGTTATGAGCCTTATTTATCTTCAGACTATATTTATGTAAAACACAAAGTTATTGATTATCTTAGTTTTTACAGATTGGTTGATCCATCCTTAAGTGTATGCCTATAATTCTTCAAGTAAAGAAATAGTGTAAGTAGATCAATAGGATAAGTAATGGCCTACAACTCAAGAAGAAACAGGTTTGTCTCATTTGTTCTCATTGATAGTGATGATCAGATGTGGTAAATGCTAATACTTTGAGTTCTGGCATGTCATATGTCAGTAGAAAAAAAATGCAAGAATGGGGTGAGCTTGTTGATCCAAATTTGAATCTCTGGCTTGGAGGCTAGAACAAGAAGACTGTGGGTTTGAGGCCAGCCTAGGCTGTATGGCAAGACATTGTCTCAAAAATAACACTAAAAACAAAAGCAAAACCTAGAATATCAGGCTGGTGGTGGACCTCATAAAGCTTACTGTTGAATCTTACTGGGCTTCTATCATGATTGCAACTAAAATTTGAATTGTCATGTACTTAGCTATGCTAAAATATTTAAATTATTATCTTATCATGAGGAATTGTTTAAGTTATGATGTCCTTTAATGATTGCAACTAATATTTGAATTGTCATGTACTTAGCTATGCTAAAATATTTAAATTATTATCTTATCATGAGGAATTGTTTAAGTTATGATGTCCTTTAATGATTGCAAATAAAATTTGAATTGTCATGTACTTAGCTATGCTAAAATATTTAAATTATTATCTTATCATGAGGAATTGTTTTAAGTTATGATGTCTCCACCATCTAACTTGGCATCATTTCTTGCTATCATCAGTTATATCATAGCAACTTTGGAGAGAAAAGTTTCATGATTTAGAAAAGAATCAAGATAATTGTGGCCTCTTATAGATTGAAATCAGTAACATTCAGAAAATAACATCAGCAGAGGTCCTTGCACATTGATAAATATGTGTTTCTTTGTCATTGCTATTGCTTTTTAAGAGGTGTAATATAGACAGAAATCTTTGCATGTTGTCCAAAATAATCACACCTCCTAAGACAGGTAGTTTTGTCCTGAAATGTTTATACATTTATTTTTTTTAATCATCATCATTTGTAAATGTGTGCTCTGTGTGCATGTGCGCGCGTGTGTGTGTGTGTGTATACAGGCTTGCTCTGCCACAGTACACATATAAAGCTCAGTGTATGTGTGTGTTTATGTGTGCGTATGTGTGTGTGCAAACTTGTACTACCACAATGCACATACAAATCTCACTGTGTATGTGTTTATGTGTATATGTATGTGCAAGCATGTACTACCACAGTACACATAGAAAGCTCAGTGTGTGTGTGTTTATGTGTGTGTGTATGTGTGTGAAAGTATGTACTACCACAGTGCACATATAGAACTCAAAGGAAAACTTTCTCAAGTTATTTCTCTCTTCCCATAATGGGTTCCAGGGACTGAACTCGGGTCATGGGGCTTTATGAACAAGCACTTAAATTTGCTGAGCCATCTCCCTGGTCCAATGTCCAGGAGACTTCCAAGATTTGGTTGTAGACATTCTATTCCTTCTAGAAATGTGTTGGAGTAATTGGAGAAATGAATTTAGCTTGTGTCTTCTATTGCAGCCTAGTAGAAGAGGAAGAGAAGAAAAAAGACGACAAAGGAGAGAAGGATAAGGTTGAGGCTGGAAAGTCGAAGAGAGAAGCAATACAGGTATCTGCTCCAGACATCATGGGACACACATGTCTAGTCATCATTCTCTTTGGCCAAATCACCAGTCTCAGCATCCTTAATGACTTTGACAACATAATTTTGAATCCTCATGTCTAAGAAATTGTGTCTTTTTTACTACACTTATTTATTCTTATTCTCTGATGTCCTATATGTTTGACTTCAAGCTTTTGCATTCTCCTTATTTGAAAATTCTCCTTTGTCTATGTGGTGGTGGTGGTGGTTCCTCGCTCTCAGTGTGTGTGTGTGTGTGTGTGTGTGTGTGTGTGTGTGTGTGTGTGGTGCATGCATATGAATGTGTGGTTGTGCATCTCCTGTGTAGGAAGTGGAGGGCAGATAGGGATAGTTATGCCTTCTGTGCTCACTGCACTTTGATGGGGTCTTGCTGTCTGTAATGGAAGTTTTATAGCTAGGCTAGCTAAACAGTCTAGCCCACTCCCCAATACTGGAGTTACAGCACCACTGAGCTATGCTTAGCATTTTTAATGAGAGCTAGTGATTAAAAGTAGCTATTATTCTGCATACCACAGACTTCATTACCAAACCAAGACACCAAATTATTATGCCTTTTGTCTCTCATAGTTACTACATCAAAATAATGTTTAATATTTTTAATAATTTTAATAGCAGCAATGTTATATTCCAAATAATGCGTTACTTAAGTCTATGAACAAGGCATCAGTTAGAACTGATATCTGACATCACTTTGTCTGTACATCTGTGATATATTGTTACAAGACATCACAGTTTTCAGAGGGGGTGAAAGGTGGAGGAAGTTTACACTGTTTAGCTATCTGCTTCTCAAACACGCCTTCCTTTGACAGGAGCTATGTAGTAAATACCGTTCCCAGGTAAGAAATGGCCGGCTCCCCTGCACCAGAAAGAATGACCCCACTGAGGGTCTGGATGGGAAGATCCATGAAAACACCTGCTTCATGTGTGAAGCTTTCTTGTGAGTACAGCTGCAGCCAGTACTGCTGAGTGTCAAATGTACGACTGGGACTGCCAGCTTGGTCCAGGACGTTGATAATAAAGCCTGTCTTTCTTTGTGATGAGTTTGGGGGATGAATTATCAACACACACAATGACAGCACTTTCTTTCTACTGCTTCAGTGTTCTGAAGGATGCTAAAATTAGCATTATGGTAGGTTCATGTGCTAATAATAGATTTCCTCAGAGCTGATGACATAAAAGTGCTGGACCTTGATTTCTATATAATGAGTGGTCATCACCATGATTAATAAATACAAATGTGTTCTCAAGTAGAAATGTTGTTAGTGCTTAATCATCCTTCTAGTTGCTTTCTGGTATAAAAGACAACTCTTTATCCATCAAAAATGTAGTGGGAGTTGTGTTTGTTATTATGTGACACATTTATATTTTATTTTTAAAGCAATGTTAAAAGGAAGAAGAGAGATATAGAGGAGCGTATTTATTTATTTTTCAATTACCAAATTAAGCAGAGATGTAGAGTAAATAGGACCATTCTACCTGAGATATTTTTTTTTCTTTAAGATGCTATGCATTGGTGCTGGTAATGACTCTTGCCAAACCCTCTCTTGCAGCCAGCAAGAAGCAAAAGAAAATGAAGCTGTGTTCACAATAAAGATTAAAAGAGATGTTAAAAAGGTAACTATCCTGTGATGCTCAAATTACGATGGAAAGGTCAGGTTTTGTCATTTTGCTGTAAACATCACACAGAATTATTGATGATCCTGGCTGTGAGGAAACTTGGGGGTCAATATAGTCCGGAGTTTGACAAGAATTTTTTTTCTAACTGTATATTTAGATTCAATTACCAAGCAGTTTTTATAAAACTTTAATCATACCTCCTTAGTTTTACTATCTAGCCACCAAATCCTAGTCTTAATAACCAGAGAGAATATTATTTCAGTTTTGTGGCCATGCAGCCTCTGCCACTACTACTTATTCTGCAGTTGTGGCTAGAAGAACAGCCATAGACTTGCACACCTTAGCGTGTCTAGATTCCCTTACATCTTTATTCATAAGTGTCATGGTACGGGGGACAGATGGCCAAACTTTGATCACAGTACACAGTTTCAAATTTACTTCATCCTCAGATTGTCCGATGGAAATTTAAGTCTAGAGAGAAGGAAGAACATGATTACAAAATTAGTGTTTTTGGGGGGCATTAGAACCCATATTTCTAAGTTCTTACAGGGGATAAAATAGAAAGAAAGACATTAAACACAGGGGTCCTGACTGCTCCCAAACTGAGAAATCCTCCTAAGACACTTTGCTTTACTTTTTTATTGTCACCTATGAGGGAGAAAAAAAATTTTTTTTTTTTTTTGGTTTTTCGAGACAGGGTTTCTCTGTGGTTTGTGGAGCCTGTCCTGGAACTAGCTCTTGTAGACCAGGCTGGTCTCGAACTCACAGAGATCCGCCTGCCTCTGCCTCCCAAGTGCTGGGATTAAAGGCATGCGCCACCACCGCCCGGCGAGAATTTTGTTTTTACAGGCAGCATCCCTAAGAAATATTTTTGATGGTTCAGAGTGACTGACTCAAGTCATGGTAACTTCTCTGTACCCATCAAAGGCCATGTGCACTAGAATCAAGTCTCTGAAGACCACCTGAGTTTTGAACCTGGACGATGACTACTTACACACTTGAATTGCAGGGAAGTGTGTGAACCTGAAATTAAAAACAGCACGAGTGCTTTAAGTTTCCAACATCTTCAGGATAAAATCCCTCCCCCACAGCCATCTGCATTCGGTATAATGCAGTTTCCACCTTCACCTTCACTGTGGCAGGCAAGATTTATTGCTGACCGTGTGTCTAACGATGAGCAACCAAGGAACGTGGCAGCGATTGCGAGAGGAGAAGAGAGACGGGAGGGGATGTGTTCTCTATCATTATTGACTTTTAACTTCTGACAGGGTTATTAGGAGAAACACAAAATCAATCCTAACGGCCACCAGTAATTAACCCTATGGTTAAGTGACTTGTGTATTTTCTCAGTTCTTCATATTTTAGAGCTAGCATCTTTTGGGTACTTTCTAGATTTTAGTCACTAAACATTTAAAAAAATATTGGCTGCATATTTCCCATTATTAAATCATGAAGAATATTCTTATTTCCATCTTATAAGTGAGGGAATTCAACCAAAAATGGTAATAACAGTTATTTAAGCTTTCTTGGTAGGAAATTAGAATTCTAACAGCATGGCATAGCCATGAACAGAATAGTGCTAGCCAGGCCACACTTGGATTCTATCCTACTCAGGAAAGGATGAGAAACCAGTGCAACAGATCTTGTTAAATTTATGTCCTAAACAGCAACCCTGCAGTGTCTGGCCATCTATGGCACTTGAGAGAGAATATTGGGAGACCTTTCTAAGACACAGTTGCTGGTGCTTTTGGAGATCTGTTCCAGTCGACCCCATCCTGACTTGCCCCATTTAGTCAGCTGGGAGCATGTCAGTCAACAAACACCACTCCAACTGTGGCTTTTAAGGATACCAGAAAGACTTTGTAGACCAGAGGTGGGAATTCACTGAATTCCAATTACCATCTCCAGCCTCAGTGTGAAGTTTCTGGAGAAGATATGTGCGGACTTTGTCAGAGGCTCAAAGAAAAAGAATCTAAAAAAAGAAAAGCCTGGCTGGCAGGCCCACCAAGACACTGAGAGTCACAACAAGGGAGCAGTTTGTATGGAAGATCTAAGACATGGGTCAATCCTGATGAGAATCTACAAGCAACCCCTTGTCTCATACAGCCTTTCTTTTTTTTTTTCCAGAGGACGTAGGAAAACTTTTATTTTTTCACACGTGAGAGTACATTGCCTTTTTTTCCTTCATCGCTCAAGTTTACATCTGAACATCATAAAGGGATTAAATTGCACACATTTATTTAATTTATTTATTTATTTATTAAAGATTTCTGTCTCTTCCCCACTGCTGCCTCCCCTTTCCCTCCCCCTCCCCCAATCAAGTCCCCCTCCCTCGTCAGCCCAAAAAGCAATCAGGGTTCTCTGCCCTGTGGGAAGTCCAAGGACCACCCACCTCCATCCAGGTCTAGTAAGGTGAGCATCCAAAAAACTGCCTAGGCTCCCACAAAACCAATAGGTCCAGTAGAATCAAAAACCCGTTGCCATTGTTCTTGAGGTCTCAGTAGTCCTCCTTGTCCGCTATGTTCAGCTCATACAGCCTTTCTGAGATGGCTAAACAGGTTATTTCCGTCAGTTCTGAGCTAGGAATGGAGGCTGAAGCCACTATTGCAGATACCTAAGTCAGGTGTTTCAGTAAATTGTAATAAATGGACTCAATCAGTTGTTGATAAAGAAGAAAGCTTTTTCCAAATATTGGAAAAACTATAATTTGGAAAAAAGAAAAAATTCCTGACTTTTCTAAAGGACATATAATATTGCATCTTAATATACTGATCTCAAGAAGCATATTTATCATATTTTACTAATTTAGGAAAATAAGTCTTTAGTATAGGATTCTTACAAGGTTTGCTAAGGTTCTTTTCCAGTACTCCTCAAAGCAGCACTGTAGCTAATTTGTTGAGTTTCTGGTGGAAATTTCACTTGGGGATGAGGCATGTGGAAAGGTAATGGAAGAGCATCCGGTCTTTAAATAGAAAGCAGAAGCCATCTTTGTTCTGGATCATGTAAAAGGAATCAAGAGAGTATGGATGGTAGGCAAACGTGAAGATTTTCTCCAGAATATGATGGTGTTTTTATCACCTTATAACAGAATTGTGATGAGCAATAAATCTCTGAGCAACTATTATGCCCAATCCTCAGAAAATACAGTGTAAGAGGAGTGAGAAGGCTCAGGGAGTAAATGTGCTTACCACCCAGCCTGGCTATATGAGTTCAATCCCCAGGACCCATATGATGGAAGGGCAGACCTGAGTCCCTCAAGCTGTTCTCAGACCTCACTCCTGCATAAACACACACACACGCACACATATATTAGAGAAATAAAATATAAACGAACTACAGTTTATTAAAAGAATTTTACATGCGTGTGGATTCAGGGCTCAATTTCAAAGTGGACAAACCACAAAGCCATTTATTGGTCCAATGTACTTGGTAGGAATTGAAAGTTAAAGTCACCAGAGGTAGGGAAAATCCTTTGGTTCTTTCCCTCCCTCCCTCCCTCTTTTCCCTCCACATCTCTCTCTATCCAAGAAAATATTTAAACTTTTGCAATTCTCTTCTTCTCTTAGGACTGCAATGAATTTATGAGTCTTTTAAAGGATGGAGAACTTTACTGCACACGAGAAAATGATCCCGTGCGTGGCCCGGATGGCAAGACCCATGGGAACAAGTGTGCCATGTGCAAGGCTGTCTTGTGAGTAAAAGACACACAATGCAGCACCTACTGTGAGTCCAGAGAGTAGAAGAAGCCACAAGCCTGCAGACTTAGCCATGCACACTATTGTACATGAGGGACAATTCCTAGGAGAAGCCACACGCCTGCAGACTTAGACACGCACACTACTATGTATGAGAGATAGTTCCTACTGTGAGTGAGGAAGGTGTGAAATGCAATAATCCAGGCAGACTTACACAATATAATATTATACATGATATTCATTATATATGAAAGGAATGATCGTCTAAAAAGTATCTTCAGGGGAATCTCTCATTTTCATCCCCAATAGTTATAATTCTAGAAGCAGTATACTACTAGACTGTTATACTTCTTACTAGTTTTCTCAGCAGATAATCACATATTTGCTGATAAAAAATATTTGTTCATTGTCAGATACTCTTTATCTTCGAATTCCAGTTAGGAAGAATATACACAGGATTTTTTAGTCACTCTGTACAGTACTTTGGGGAAAATCATATTTCAGGAAATAAACGTAAGTAATGCCTCACACAGAGTGTAGAAGTACATCTAAAACATCCAAATCATTCAAGAGCCATTTACTGAGCACATACAGTACCCAGTGTGTATAATGATTAAAGATTAAACAAAGATGAATGAGACGGATTGGTGCCAGGGATCACACAATTTGGGGTTTCTTAAACCTTTGCCACTCACATTGCCTTTTCCCTGAGAAATTTTTATTGTACACCTGGGTACGTAAAATAAATACACAAATCAAACACTTACTTGTAACTATCCTGAAGAACTTTAAATAAAACAATTATTTACCATATATTTAATTAGAGAAAATCAAACGAATGGGCACTACTGCTCAGTTGTAAATTAAGAATTAAATCTTGGCTGAATATTTGATAGTGCAGGACACAAAACATTTTCCAAATCTTTCAAAGTTGATTACTATTTTGATCATATAATCATCAGTGCTGAGAATGCAATTTTGCATAAGTATGTAGTCTTAAATGGCAGAAGTATACTTGAAGTCGTCTTAGGAATTGTTGGAAATTATATACTAATCTGAAGACAAAATATGCTTTAAAATATTTTATGAAATACAAGTCAGAAACTCACAGAGAAATTTGAAAATCAAACACTCGAATATAATGCAATCAAAAGATAAAGTAGCTTACTTCATCTGTGCTGAAGAACGATGACGGAAAGTCTTTAGTCCCCACAATTAAGTCATTATGTTCCTGTACGAACATAAAACTTTTAGTTTATAAGAAAACAAAAGCACTGCAATCCACAATTTGTAATAGTTGTGAGCCTTAGCTGAGATCTTAGGCAATTCTCTACGGCATTGAGTAGCTGACATCTCACACGGAAAAGAGCATGCATATTGTGTGTTCCAAACAAATGCTGAGGTGAAGTCCGTGATGCAACACAGGCAATGGCAGGGATCCATTGCATGCTTCGTTGGAAATTAATTTTCGATCATCACATGTTCAGAAATCTTTACTGTTGCCATTTTTTTTACAACACTCCCATCCATATCCTTGATCCCTATAAACTGGGAGTGGTCCACCAGCTGTTGTATGCATCTAAGGTAATAAACCCAAAGCTGGCTTTCAGACTTCAGTGAAGGGAGAGCTAATGGAAAGTTTTAGGTGGAAATAGACCTGAACGTTATAATTTGGGTAAAGACATGTAAATGACATGACAGGGCCATGTGAGAGAATAACAGACTGCATATGGTCCGAATTAGGAAAACTGTGGTATGTAAGAAACCAACACTTAGAACTCAGAAGCTTTACCAACTTTCTGTGTCAAACCAGGGACGTGGACATCAATTCTACGTGTAGTGAGGGCTGCAGAAATGCTTAAGTTGGGGGAGGAACTAGCAGCAAATTGGTTCATTTAGGGAAAATGCATGCAGCAGCGATCAGTAGAAGAGAAGTCTAACATCCCGAATGGGACTGACTGGTGCTAGGGGACTGATGGGTTGCTGTTACCCAGTGAAGGCCAGCTAGAGGGAGGAAGGAAGACACAAGTTGTCAAGGTGAGAGTGAATGATAGAAAAATATTAACTGGAGCTATGCAAGCCTGAATAAGAGATACAGTTGGAGGTAATTTCAATGTTTTGTTTTTGAAAAGCAAACAATAGAGAAAGAAGCTCATGCTTGCTAAAGACAATGACGATTTTTGTGTCCTCTTGTAGATGGAAAAAAAACTTTAAGAAATAAGTTAAAGGTCCTGAGCAAACCATTTAGTAAACTCTGACTAGCTGATAGCTAAGTAGATGTTGTTTTTCTCTTAGTAGGAGGAAAATTTTGCCAAGCGAAGGACTTCACATAATCCATCTACTATATTTTCCGAGAAGAGGGCCTGTAACATAGATATTAAATAAACCCTGATAAATTCCATCTAGATCCAATTGATTGGCTCATAGAAAAGTAATTGTTGTTCAGTAAGCTATTGTTCCTTCCACTTCCTGACTTTCAGCGACAGAGAAAAAGAAGAAAGAAGGAAGAAAGAAGAGGAAAATCAGAGAATCACTTCAGGCCATGGCTCTGGTGGTGGGAGACAGAAGGCTAAGGTGAGAGGTAGCCCTTGCTTTCACCGCCTGTTTGGGCAGAACTCATTGCTGGTGAGATTGGGATGGGGCCGGAGGGAAAGGGAAAGGCAGAGAGTGCCCAGACAAACAGGTCCTTGGAAGAACAGTCTTCCACCTTGGCCTCTCGGATAAGATACTAACAAATCCTGCTGCTGTATGACTCTTGACTTCTTTAGATCCGGAATGAATTGAGACAGTGAACCTTCCCAGGCTCCCGAGCCTTTTCTAGTTCATTCATCTTCGTGTCAGGATTGATTCTCATCAGCATCTTTACTTTCTTTCACTCTTCTTTATTTCTGAGGATTAGGCCAAGCCTGTGGATTATCTTTTCTGCTCTCCAAAGCAGGGCAGTGTGATGAAACAGAACAGACTAGGGAGTCTGTACAATTGGCCTCTTACCATAGAGACATATGAAACTTTGGATGAATTGCCTCATCTCTTTTATCTCAAACTTCTCTTAAAGAGAGAGGGGGAAATAACTTAGATAGGAGAAAACTATTTAGGTCCTTCTAAGCACATTTGAGATACTTTGCAGAGAGAGCACGGCATCGTTTAACGAGATACAGCACCACTTCATGGATTTCTGCTACCTGTTCACCTTCTTAATGCTGTAGGGAGATCAAGTCTATCGCTTTGCTCCCAAATACACTACCTGTAATTTAAAAAATCTATCTTTTCTATTTTTTTCTAGTGTGTCTGCTTTAGGACAAAAAATTCCCACTCTCAGAAAATAAATGTGCTCAGGCTGTTTGTTTGTCTTCTCCGGATTGTGGAATGTGTCTAGTGAACATGTTGCCTTTATCTAGAGAAGGAGTGACAAATGATGCTTAAATAAAGAAATAAATGAAAGATTATTTCATTGAAACGTTACACATCTGAACAAAGAGAAATGTAGATCTGGCCTTTGGTATACAGTTTTCTGACCTTAGATTTGTGCTCTCAGACTTTAGCCACTTTATAATTTCCCCATGTAAGCATTTAAACACATTAAGCGCTACGAAACTGACCCTTCATAATTAGAACACGGATGACTCTAGCGCCCCTCTTCTCTGTGGACGGCATCCCTAGGTCATGGGCTATCTGCAAGGGTAAAAGGAAAGAATGCTCCTGATAGTGCTTGCTTCGTGAGCTTGGCGGGAATAAAAAGACTGCCCACGTGGCCTGCTTTCTTCTTCCTTTTCAGGAGGAATGTGCTCAGTACTGGGAAAGCATGAAAAATGGACAGCTCAGCTGTACTCGTGAGAGTGACCCTGTACGCGGTGCTGATGGGAAGCCATACAACAATAAATGCGTCATGTGTAAAGAGCTGCTGTAAGTGCTTCTCGTAGCAAGTGTGTCTAAAAGACAGCCACACAGTTCTCCTTTTCTATGGCTCCTTCTGTGAAAGATCTTTTCATTAATCCCAATGCTTCCCCCGCTTTTGTTTCCTAAGGAACATAAGCCCAAATGGGGGACAGATAATCAAGTGGCCGGTTGTCCTGTTCGCCACTCGAATTCTGTGACCTCCCAGTGTCATCGTAATAATGTTCATTGCCTTGACCTGGTGAAATTTAATGATAGTCATTTGAAGTAGCTAAACAACATTTACGAGAGCCAGGCTCTTGCCAAATGTATGAAACATAGAGTGTTTAAGAGAGCCAGGCTCCTGCCAAGTATATGAAACATTCTTATACAAAAACAGGAGTAGTTACTTCTGTTTATCCCCCCCACACACACACACACACCCGTGAATGGTATTAGAGTATTTCATGGCATAGTTCAGCCACTTTGATCAATCTTGTTAGGATCGGTAACACAGTTATTGCTAGTCCCATCTATATACTGAGTTAGTCCTAGGCGACCCTGAACATTTAGGGATGCTTTTAGTTGTGACATTTAATTATTGCATGATTAGTAAATGTGCAGCATCCATCTCTCATGCTACAAAGTATAATTCATTTATTCTTCACTTCTCTGAGGGTTATGTGATGAACCCTTATACCAATGCTGACATTCTACTAATGAGAAAAATGAAATTGGTTTTCTTTAAAGTCTCATGGAGAGTGGACTTGAGGGCTCTAGTTACAGTCCAGTTTTTCTATACGGCCACGTAGAGTTTACTCTGCATTATCAGCATGTGTGACATGCATTATATATTGTGGGTGGAAGACCAGGATTTTACTGGCCAGTGGCCTTCGTTGATCCTCCTGTCTCTGTGTCTATACCGCTGGGATTATAAGCATTTGCCTGACACTAACCACTGCTTTTCATATGGCTGCTGGGGCTTTGAACTTGGGTCCTCATGTCTGTGAGGCAAAAAATTTACCAACTGAGCTATCTCTCCAGGCAATTAGTGGGGGTGTCTGACCAAAGGGATGACCATAATTAGATTTTTAGCATGCTATGGCATTATAGGAACCCTCCATTTTCAATAATTAAATTGATTGAAGTGCTATGACTTAAATTTGCTTGAATTTACTATTTATTTAGCTATTTTGGGGCCATGCTCTAAGAAATAACATTACAATGATTTTTTTTTCTTAACCTCAAAATCATGGACCACTGCTCTAGGAAAGTGGATCAACACTGGAGATGAATTTGGATAGAAATTGTGAAGGCTGTAATCAAATGATTTGATGATGTATTTTGTGGTGAAGGGGCCTCCTGCCCTGGAATCATAGTAATGGAACAGGCTGTACTCTCAGAGAGTGGAGACACTCGCTGTGAAAAAGAAGGTTTAGGACACAAGCCCTCAGACCCATTCATCCTGTGCGTGCATTTGTGCCAACAAGAGGACTATTCGACCCTTTCTCTCATAGGCAGAAAGACATAGAGGAAAGAAATAAAAATTCTGCTGAAAGATCAAATGGGACTGGCTCAGCCACGGGGAAGGTAAGTCAGTGCCAACGTTTGGTGCAAACCATCCAAAGTGTGGAAAGAGGTTGTTGTTGATGTTGCCAGTGGAGATCTTCCTTTTAGAATGTCAGAGCTAGCACTGGGTTTTATATTGCCGCTATAAAATGTCACTATAGACCCTGGCACACAGTACTGCGAGTTATTACCTTACATTCGTGGAGGTCAGAGGTTCCGAATGACTCCACTAAAACCAAGGAGTAGGCGGAGCTGTGCTCCTTTGTGAAATTCCTTTGCTGTCTCTTGACTTTCAGGAGCTGCCTGTGTTCATTGGTTTGTGGCTGCCTTCCAGCCCGCATGCTTACTCACGGCTGATTCTCTATCCTTCTGGGACTCATTCTTCTGTTTGAGAAAGAACCCTCATGGTAGCAATGAGTCCTCCCCCCTAGTCCCGAATAACCTTCGCACTTCAAATACAACTGATTGGTGCTCTTAATTCTCCATTTAGATGATTACATTAACTGATACAATAACATATCTATCTACACACTCCACACAAGACACGGATGTCCTTATGTCATAATCCTGCCTACCTCTGCAAGGTTAAGTGGCTGCCAGGTGTGTGAACTGAAACCTTTGGCTTTTCAAACCCAATAAAATATATAGGAAAAAAGCATTTCTGATTATCTTTCCTCGTTTATTTTCAGGATGTATGTGATCAGTTTAGAAGCCAAATGAAGAACGGGAAACTCCTCTGTACTCGGGAAAGTGACCCTACCCGGGGTCCAGACGGCAAGACTCACGGCAACAAGTGTGTTATGTGCAAGGAGAGGTTGTAAGTGTCTTTCCAACCAGTGCTGTGGCTGTGCGTCCAGATAGTATAGTAACCGCGCTGCAGCAGTTTGAGCAGAACAGCGAGCGCTTTAGAAGTGAGTCCCATAACTAATGAGACACGTATTCACTTTCTTCCCATCCTTACTCTCAGGGAAAGAGAGGCCGCTGAAAAGAAAAAGAAAGAAGATGAAGCCAAGAGAAACACGGGGACAAACAAGAATGATAAGGAGGTAATATGTCAGACACGTTAATACCTGAATTTGGAGGGTTCATGTTAAGGAGACAAAGGTGATGGCTTTGGAGCCAGTATGAAATTACCTTTCAGAAATTGAGCTTAATTAGGAGAGCAGACCTTGCACCCATGGGAGCATGGTTGGGCCAGGGTAACGTAGGTGAATAGTATGAGGGAGGATGAATCATAACGGGACTGTGAGGTGAGAGAACATTATACACATTCTAAAAACATTAAGAAGGTTAGTTCAGGGAGGAAAAGCTGCAGTGGACAGCACGGGAGAGATATCTGACAGAGGGAAGGGACAAGAAAGAGACTGTGAGATCCGGAGAGGCAGAGAGAACTCTAGGGGCTGGGGAGCCTGGCCATAGTTCAAAGCCAGTTCCAGGCACAGCGTCAGAGCTGTCTGGTTGGAATGGCACAGAGAAAAACATTTATGTGCAAATCTTTGCAGGATGCACAGGAGACAGTGTGCACACATAAAGAGGCATATTTTTGCACATTCATTTTTCCTCCACAGAAGATAAGGAGCTAAGCAGCCCTAAGGCAGTTAGAGTCCTGAGCTAGCAGGGGAGGTATGCCCTGACTCTTTCAGGCCGGGCTCTGATCTCTTAGACTCTCACGCCACAGGCCCACCCAAATATTCATTGTAAAAGGAATCATGTAACTAACTGTTTTGAAGTGCCCATTCTCTCCCAATTATTGAGGATATGATAGTAAACAGAAAAAGACGTGGCTAGCTCTACCAAAACGAGCATGACACTTACGACTTAAAAACAACTCTAACGCGGGTGCTACGCATTCTCAGGACCGCAACAAATACCAGTGTTGTGACTATCCACTCAGCGGATATCATTTGAAGCTTTAAAAAGTATCTGGGACACAGGAAGGGCTTGGTCTTGGGAGTGGGGCAGGAAAAAGAAAGCACCAAAAAGTTCAATCAAGAAACAAATTGGGAGTATGCATGGTAACGTGACCAGATGGCACTTGACTGCCACCTAGTGTTCAATTTGGGGCATTATCAATAGTGCCCTCCTTTCCGCACTGAAGGCACAGAATGGCCATTATGATGCAGCTCTTCCCAACTATGAAATCCAATTAGAAAGAAAAAGACTGCAATCTATACACAGAATATTTCTTTGAAATTAGTCAAAAGAGAGCTATATATTTCTTTATAATGTAAATCAAAATAAGATTAGCTCTTATGTTTAAACAGTTTGCAAAATCTATTTTGTGAATTTCTCTGATGTTACAGCTAAGAAAAGAGCCAGGGACCACACACAAACAATAAGTAGATCAGGAGGGCAAATCCCAAAAGCTGGCAGTACAATGAAAGATGACGATGAGTGTTATCATTTGTGTGTATGTGTATGTGTGTATAGTGTGTGTGAGCACATGCATGTGTTAAGTGGATGTGTGTGTGGATGTGTGTGTATGTACGACGATGATGAGTGTTATCATTTGTGTGTATGTGTATAGTGTGTATGAGCACGTGCATGTATGTGTGTGCTTGTGTGTGCATGTGTGTGTATATGTGTATATATGTGTGTGTGCATCTGTTATTGTTAGCAGCTGGAAAGAAAATAACTGCAGTTACTTCTGAAAATGATATTACTGAGAAAAATAATATAGTGTGATCAGATGGTCAATTTCAGAGATAACTAAGAATTTGGTGGATAAAGTAAGCATGGGATTGTCTGTAGGAGAAAAAAAAGGCAACCCCAAGCTAAGCCACTATCAGTATTTTAATGAGAGTGCCTCCAAAGGTCTCTTTGGAGTTAGGGGGAGTTCAAGGTAAAATCTCATGGGACCAGTTCCCTTGGCATTGTTTTAAGGTTGATTTTTTTAACATAAAAAAAAATCCCAGCTCTCTCTTCTTATAAACCAGTGGCTTTGTTCTCTTCCATGGAAAAACAAAAAAGTAAAAATAAGGGAGCTCGCTCCATAGAAAGCTGGTCACAAACCCAGCATTTACCTTGATTGTTTAGTATTTCTGAGTTTTTTATAAAACGAAAAGTAGGTTCACATCATATGAGCTGATGTAATTCAAATGATAGAAAATATCTTAAAGATGTGGCCATGTGGCAAGCTGGCTCACAAGGTAACGTGACAATTGTCCCAAGCTTGAAACTCTGGGTTTGATCCCAGGAATTCATGTCGTGGAATGAGAAAACCAAGCTTTCTGCAGCTCCCCTGAGTCTGCACATGTGCCATGGTAAGCGTGCCCACACAGATGTACACATACACAACCAATAAATGCAAAACTATCATTACAGAACTGTGGGTTTATATGTTTGAATGCCTTGCCAGGTGAATATGTTCAGTCCATTCTGTATTTTGAGGCCTGTTTTTACATGTGGAATCGTGAGCACAGCTGCAGACAGGCAGATTTGGGACTTAGCATCACAGAAGACTTTGTACAAATGAGATGAGCTGTCTTAGGCAGCGATGAAATTCCCCTGGAGAAGACAAGTGGGACAAAGTACCTTTAAATCCTCATCCATTCTCTGAAATCTCATTTTCTCTATTTTCTTCCAAACATCATGAGTCCGTGCCTAACTTTCATGGTGCTTTCAGACTCTACAGCCTGTCTAAGGCTGTAATATTTTCGCTGTCCTCTTGTCAGGATCAATGCCATGAATTCCGGAGCATGCAGAGAGATGGGAAGCTGATCTGCACCCGAGAAAATGACCCTATCCGAGGCCCAGATGGCAAGACGCATGTCAACAAGTGTGCCATGTGTCAGAGCATATTGTACGTGAGCAGGCTTGTTGATGAGTTTGATAAATCACATGGCAACAAGTGTGCCATGTGTTAGAGCATGTTACATGTGAGCGTGCTTGTTGATGGTTTTTATAAATCACATGTTAACAAGTGTGTATGTCAGAGTATGTTGTACATGAACAGATTTGTTGATGAGTTTGATAAATCATGCTTGCTTGATGGGAAAGAATTTCTGACATTTAAAAATCTATGACACTTGGTTTTATACATTATAGACAAATACATCCTCATTTATAAAGACTAGTGTTAGTTTTCAAAGCACTCAACGAGAAGCTGTTCTTGTAAACAATGAGATGTGTAGTCACACCTGGGTCGTCTAAGATGGGAAACAATCGTGATACATTTACAAGTCAATGACTTTTGTTTATTTTTTATTTTTATTTATCACTTTATTTATTTATTTTGGTTTTTTGAAACAGGGTTTCTCTGTGTAACAGTTCTGGCTGTCCTGGAACTCACTTTGTAAACCAGGCTGGCCAGGAACTCACAGAGTTCTGCCTGTCTCTGCCTCCCAAGTGCTGGGATTGGACACCACCTCTGGGCAGTTGGTGTCTTTTAAACAAAAAAGCTCAGTCACTAATGTGACCACCTATGTTACGGGACTTCAGGCCATCTTGTATGTGAAAGAGTCGCAATGACAAAACAGTTTTTGTTGAATTTCAAGATTAGTTTGTTTTCTAAAACGTGGGTAAACTTTAAAGCATTGTAACTACATGAGCTTAAGTTGAAGCAACTGTCAAAGTATCACAAAAAAAAAAGGAGAAATGAAGCTATAGTCTGAAATAAAGCCATTCCCTTAAGAAGCAACATCCCTTTAGAATCCTTTGAATCGTGACGATAGGAAAGCAACAGAATTGGCGACCATTGAGTGTGCTGCCACGGTAGAATGTCCATCCATCAGAGACAACAGATAGAAACGTGTGTCTAGGTGTTTTTAAGACAAACATAGTGTTATGTTTGTTAATGTTTAGCATTGGAAAAATACGTGGTTAAAGATAATTCAGCATAATCCTAGAAATATTTATTGGTTTCTTTTTTCTGCAGCGAACGAGAAGCTACTGAAAGAAAGATGAGGAATGAAGAAAACTCAGGTCCTCAGCCTGCAAATGAGGGAAAGGTTGTGTTTTAACAGATAAGATATTGACCTTACCTAACTTGCCTTTCCATGTAGTCTTTAGTAAGAAAGATACTAACGTTTTACTTTAAATTTTGATTTTGACAACACTCTCACTTTCAGTCATAATGTAAGATATATCAACACCACACACACAACACAACATACAAACCACACACACACCATACACACACACCCCACACACCCCATACACACACACAACACACACACACCCCAAATACACCCCACACTACACAACACATCCCCCAGTCCCACACACCCCACACACCCCACACTACACACACACATGGAATTAATCTTTTAAAAATTCTTAGAGAATTCTCCTATAGCATATGTCAATTTTTGTCTTTCTGCTCTAACAGAAATATGCTAGGGAAAACTAGACAACACAGACTTCTTCCAGCTCAACTGCATGCTCATCTTTGACACTTTAAACGTGAAAGGAGGCTTTGGGTAGCTTCTTGATGTTGACCTCAATGAGTCCTGTAGCTAACAGACATCCCAAGCCTCCTGTTCAGCTTGTCTTTGATATCTTCTGTTCTCTCCGGATGATATTCCCTGCATCCATGAATCAGTAGTATGCGTGTATTACAGTACTTTCTGTCTTCTCAAGACTCAAAAGAAGGCAGATATCGTCCCTTGGTCATTCCACAGTGGTCATCACATTCTCTTTAGCCTAGAGTGCTTTGAGATTCTCATTGGTTTAAGGTCGTGGACAGGGGATAAAGGACAGATGAGATGATAGGCAGGCGAATCAGCAGGAGGTGAGACATGCCTATCAAGCCTTTTCTTATGTTTTTCTACCTCTCAGGACCATTGTGGAGAAGTTCACAACACAGCAGGCAATGCAAAACCTAGGCAGGCCAGGAGTTCTTTGCCCTCCGTGGCTGGGATCAGCGAAGTGAGTACCAGCCTGGAGCCAAAAGATATCTCCTAAAGCTGAGTTTGAGAAAACCACCCAGTGACAAAGGGAAAGCCCATGCTCACCTCCCTATCTCATTCCCTAGGATGAGTGCAGCGAGTTTCGAAAGCTCATGAGGAATGACAAGCTTCTCTGTTCACAAAAGGATGACCCAGTGCTTGGTACTGATGGAGCTCTCTATCAACACAAGTGCCACATGTGCAGAGCTGTCCTGTGAGTAAACTCATTGTGCTCAGCCAGCAGGGGGCACATAGTTTTACAGATTGCTGCAGGAACACATGTATGTGCTCCTGAGTCCAAGAGAAACAGTAATATGGCCAAGGGCTGCAAGTTAAGACAATAGATACAGCAGAAAGAGTGCTTGGGTTTGGAGACAGGAAATGAAGGTCTCCTCACCAGGGCACTCATTCCAAATCCTTGATCTAAAACCACATGAGACCTAAAAGAAAAGTCATTAAAAAAGACGAAATTTTATGCCCAAAAATGCATTAAATAAAGGTCTCAAGGGCTAAATGATTTGACTGGTGAAGAAACACATTTAAAGACGAGTGGACACCATGATGGTTAAAAGCACCCATGAAGACGGCATCAATACTCCTTAGTTTTTCACAGAGAATGTTCCTGCGGTGGGCATGGACTGTCGGTGCTGCTCAGTGTTGGTCACCTTGTGTGCTTTTAAAGCATCTCATTCTGGTCATATCCTGATGGAGTACTCTAGGGTTCCCCCATGTTTTCCTGGGACAGACATCTTTCTATGAGATGTTACAGAGGTTTTGCAAATATTCTTTTTAAATGTTTTTTTTTCTTTCTTCTTCTAGTGAAAAGGAAGCTTTGGAAAGGCCTGAACTCCAAGGAAATCCATCACACATTAGAGTTACTAAAGAAGAAGGAGGTCCAGGATTTCCCAGCTCCTCTGAGGTAAGGAGTTTCTCCTTGAATATTATGCCAGCAGCTTCTGTCCTCCAGCATTTGGGGAACCTGCACCTCAAAGCCAGCTAAGGGGAAGCATCATAACACAGGAGGTAGTCTGGCAGAGATAAAGAAGAATGGATTTTGCATATTTTTTTATTGCCACCACAGAGTAGCTCCTGAGGAGGTAGAGACCAAAGTTAGTAAGGGAGGTATGGACTAATTTTTTTTCAGACTGGAATCTGATCTCTTAGAGTGGCCAGTATCTTAAAGAGGCAGGTCCACACCAAGGGTCATTGCAAAGGGAATTCATTAAGAGTGAATATTGTTTCTAGCATGAATATTCTAGACTCCTTTCTAGAAGCATGTCCTAGCTTACTATGCCTCAGATCATTAAAGAATTCCACTTACTGCTTCATTCTTGAGGGGGAGGGGAGGTTGTCACTGTTATTTTTGGTTTTGTTTCTTTTCGGCACACTAATATTCTCTAGTTAAAAGAAGCCAAAGCCCACCCAATATGATGTGGAATAACGTATACATTTGAATACTTCACCACAGTCCTGTTCTTAATCAGGTGCCATTAGGAAAACCAATATTTCTCCAGTCCCATATAACCCCTTGAAAGCCTTAAGCAACTTTGCTCTCTACTTTACCTATGCAGGACTCTGACATCTGCAAACACTACCGAATATTGCCCAGGATGGGTTATCTTTGCCCAAAGAATATTCAGCCTGTATGTGGGGATGATGGCCAAACCTACGCCAACCCCTGCATGCTCTGCCATGAAAACCTGTAAGTACCCATATTACACCATCTCTGCTTCAAGTGTGAAGGTTCCCAACTGCAATTTGCCTATAGTAGTGCTCTGATGTTAACTAGATATCTATTTCAAGTTTTCTGTTGTCACCATCCCAAAATTCAAAATGTGTTTATGTTTAAGATGAAAAGTATGTAAGAGTACCCTTTAATATACTTGCCTGTCTCTATTACTTCATAAAATAATAGAGTAATAGGAAAAGAGGAAAGAGCAGTAATGAGATCACAATGATTGAAGGACACCTCTATAAGACTGTGTAGATTCATGTAGATCCATGAAAGTGTGACCATCATTCATCTGGCATACAGGAAGAGAAAGCAGTTGACAATAACCACATATATGGTGTCTGAACCACCTACAATGTCTAAGAAATTGTATGACTGTAAGAGAGTCATTGGTTTCCCAGCCTTCTTGAAGGAGCTAATACCATGCAATAAATGCATGCTAGATGAATGCCATATATGATGTCTGTTCTTAGCTTTAACACTGACTGTACATGTTCGCCAATTATCTCATCATGTGAAATCTCAGTTTCTTCCTTGGAAGAAGGTGGAGACTATTCCTTAAGCTACCAAGTTCACTGATAACTGAGAAGAACTTGGATATGAAAGTATAGGTTAAGTACAAGAGCTGTTTAGTTCTTTCATTGTTTGTTTTTGCTTGGTAGATTTTTCTTCTCAAATACTGATTTTGCAAAAACTCATCATTGTCCCTAGACTTATCATTCACCTTCTCGCAGCCTCCCTGTGACCAATTTCTTTGGAAGTATAGTGGCAATGCTTTATATCTAGAAATGTGAACTATAAACTGTGAACTTACTTGCCATTATACCTGTAGGTACGGTGTGGTGATAAGTCATTTTCCCATTCCATCATCAAGTTTTCATAACCTGATGTAGAGTTCTATTTTTGTCTTGGTGCATGGGTGAACCTAATACTCAGAGAGTTCAAATGTTTTTATTAAATGTCACAAAACTCACAAAAATTAGAAAATATCTTGTCCTTGATTTTTCTGGGTCTAAGTAATTGTGGTTTAACTGTAGTTTCTTTACTTCACTATTATTATCTTCAGTGCAGTGGTTCCACTGCCATTTGTGAGACTATAAATTACTTTGATATCATAAAGATGTGATACAGTGTGTGAAATTCCTTTGATAATATACAGATGTGGCCCACTGTGTGGACTCAACTTCCATGAGCTCACAGGCTCACTGAATTCACCAATGGGAATTAAATATTTGTTTAAGGAATGAATTAACTTTTCTAGGAATTCAGTTATTACATACACACACTGTCTTTCAGCCCTAAATCCTTCGATTCCTTCTGATTATAAACCTGAGGACCTAAATTATCGATACTATTTAACCAAACTTTTCAATAATTATTCCAGCCCAGGTCTAATCAAGAAAGCTTCATAGACAGAAGCTCAAGTGATGAGAAGATTAATGTAGTCTACCTTGGGTGCATGCCATGGCTACGGAAGGTGGGGCTAGACTCATAGAGAAGACGCAGGTTTTCTCATGGAAGAGGGACCAATATTTAGTGAAGGGTTAGATCAAGCATCTGTGGTAGATGCTGTATTTTCCCCACAGCAACACAGATGAGAAGCGGGATCTTCCTTCACAAAATTTCTTGAGTTAAAAGTCTTGAGATTCTCTCAAGTATCATTTCAGGTTCAAGAAATAACCCCGTGTTATTGTATTTTTGTTCTATTTTCTATCCCCAAAGTTATATTATAGATACTTGATATCGTCAAACATTTTTTCTGGGATATAATTTTTTCACCTTCAAAACAAAGTCACATGGGCCAGTGAGGTGACTCAGCAGGTGAGGATGCTAGCTGTTCATACCTATCAACTTGAACTCAATCCCCAGAACCCACCACAGTAATTGCAGTGAATTGGTTCCCAAATGTTATCCTCTGACCTCTCCATTTGTGCCATGGTACATATGTGCCAGTGCTCATAACACACACACACACACACATATATATACACACACACGTACACACAAATACACCCATGGGCACACAGTCATACACACAGAAATACACATGCACAGACACACATGAGCACACACACTAACTGAAATGAAAATTTATAAAAAAAAAAAAAGCTTTGGATTAAGAATCACATGATTCTATCTTGGTTGAAATGTGGTGAAATAGGCTCAGAACTAGAGGATAAGTTAGGAACAGAAGAGAGTAACCAAAGCTAGATGATGCTAAGCAGAAAGTGGTTCTGTGAATTAGACTTTTATGCTAATTAAGTTTGTTTGGTATTCATACATCACCTACATCTGTTTATCATTAGATCTGAATTTTTTTCCCATCATTGAAGCATCTCTTCTTTTTTAGGATCCGTCAGACTAATACACGCATACGAAGTCAAGGGAAGTGTGAGGAGAGCAGCAACCCCAAAACAATACCTGCTGAAACACCTGCATCTGTGAGTGCATTGGCCTTTGGGTTGTGGTGGTAGCTACTCTGGGTTCTGATTTGGTTCGTGCACTGGGAAATAAGAATTTGACCAGAGAAGTCACACTAGTAGGTCATATGCCTCGAGAATTATCCACATTATTACCAGGATGATAAAGTAATTATTGAAGCATGTGGTAATAAGCTTATGCCAATTATAAGACGAGATGGAGGCTAAGAGAGGCAGATCGTAACAGCTGGATTGAAGCCAATTCTATGTAATGCTTATGTCATTGTGTATTGCAAAGAATTTAATTTTCCTCAATGCTAAAAGTTGGCCTCTTATTTAAATACCTAACAGAATACTTGAACATGTATTACTTACTTTGAAAGTCTCCCTGGTGACTCTATCTGAAATCCCTTTCACAGGTTAGATAACAATGAACTAGATAAGAGAGAAGCATTTAAATGAAAGCTAAACATAGGTTAGTTTTTTTGATGTTTTTCATATAGGATATTTCTAGTGAATCACATAATTACTCTTAATATCTCAATGAATTATTGAAAACATTCAATATACACTGACTTTAGAATACTTGTCGTAGCATCTAAAAATTGATGGCATCTATAATTATTGTCATCATCATCATTATCAACCCAAAGATGGAATTTACGAAAATTTCTAAAGTATGAACTTAGAAGAAAAAGAAATCTGGACATGGTTGTTATTTAATTTGAATTAATAAATTAGTTTAACTAAATTTATTTCAAAAAAGTTAATTATATCTAATAAATAATGTTCCAATACTGATATTTATTAGAAATATTTATTATACTCCATTATGATACCATGCAAATTGGGCACAGAATTGGTAAATGTTCCACTTGATTTGTAAATAATTAATCAACTGTGTTGCCTTGTGAGGGTAAACACAGTTTGGGAGGTTTCTGGTTTCAGGTGAACAGTGGGAACACACATTATGATTGGTTGAGACCTGGAACCTTCCATCTCCTTCCCATGAAAATTTGCAACTCATTTTTTTACTCTAGGCCTTTATACACACACAAAAGAAGGTTTAGCCAATTCTAGTCCACAGTTGGTTGCTAGTTTTGCATCCAAATCCTTAGCAGCTTACGTCTCACTTTATTGGATGAATATACTCTTTTCCCTCTTTATAATCCCACTTAAGTATACATCTTAGGACAAAGCGACCTCAGTAATTTTCTGAAAGTTCAATTTAATAGAATAGCCTTGGACCACACTTCCCTGTAACTCTCATCCTGTGTAGGTAACTTGACAAAAACTATGTCATGGAACTTACCTGTAGATTATACAAAAATAGATTTCTTTAAGTAATGAAGGATTGTGCCAGAGGCAAGGTCTAATGAGAATTTTGAAAGTCTTTAAATTTTCATGTGCAGTCTCCTTTTCTATGAGATGCCGTGAATAACAGTACTTACTCTCATGAGGAAACATGCAATCCATAGCAGAGTTAACCCATGTTTGTTTGTGTGTTCACCTCAACTTTTGGGTGCATAGGAAATTCTCAGGGAATAACCATCACAGCATATAGAATGTGAACATGATTTAATATAATATTGTGAGGTCTTGGTACAGACCACCTTCCTGTAGTTTCAATGAGTTTTAGTATCTAACCTATCCATCTTTTTTTCCAGGAAAAATGAACAATGACTGGTGAAAGTCGCAAGGAAAAAGCTATGCCTCGATTCTGAACTGCCTACCTTCACCATCTGTGTATATAAAGAATTCTTCATTTGTCTTTTTACTATAGAAAACACAGAGCTGTTGGTATTGGACTCGCTGGTTCTTAGTCTTTCCACCTCTTTCCTTCTAGACTCAGTGATCTGAAAACGGAGAGAGCTCTCCACCCAGTCTGTGCTCTGGAAATCTGATCACAATGTTGTCTGCTCAACTGCCCATTTAATAAAAGTAGAAACTCAGCAGAACATCCTTTTGGGGATTTGTTTCTCACTGCTAGGTCATAGGAATTTTTTAAAAATAGAAGCTGGATATATGGTGCCCTTTGTCTTACATTGGCAGACAAGTTGCTGCCATTGTTGGGAATAAGTCCCTAGAATGAGAGTGGGTACAATATGGGCTCTCAGGCAGCTAATACTTGTGTGAAGCTATCTGTCACCATATCAGACCCTTTACTTAGTATCTGTATTACCATAAATACCATAACTCAATTTTTATAAGTCCAATAATTGAAACCATCCAGAAATTTCTCATATCTAATTATTTACCTCTTGAAATATATTTTTTTAATTTTGAGGTTATACCATGGCTTACTACCTACAGTCTGAGAAAGACTAAGAAATTGAAAACACAATATATGTAAACCCCTAGAATGGCAATCTCCAGCAAAAATGTCGTATGAGCCATTTATATAATTTAAATTTTTAGTACTTAACAAAATAACCAAGTAAAATTAATTCTAATTATTTTATCTATCTCAATATATGAATTAAACTAATATACATATTTTATTTAATAAATCATTGATATTGATGTGTATTTTCCACTATTTGTACATCTAGTTTGGGCCAGTCATGTTTCAGATGTTCGATGGCCATATGTAGCTGGAGGTGGCTACAGTGAACAAGGCAGCAACCAACATGGGCCAACTGAGAAGTAACCAACATATTAGAGGGGTGGCTGGAGACAGCTTGAGGCTCCAGGCTCTCTACTGAGACTCTGCTATTCTCAGACTATAGTTGTTGGTGTTCTGTGGTAGCAGGAGGTGCCAGATTCACTCCAAGATTCTAGGCTGAGGCAGGACGAACTGCAGAAAGTACACAGAGAAGCTTGCGTGTCTCCAGCCACTCTCAGCCACAGGAAAAGAAAATGTTCAGAGTGTGACTGACCTGCTTAGACCTAAAAAGCTAATTTTGTATTTTCTCTCTGCTCTTTTGTTTTTATAAATAAATCTCCACTAAGCCAAATATAATGGGATTTTATGATTGTTGTCCTTCGTAAGTGAATGAAAACTAGTCAGTCCCCATGCTGCAGTTTCCTGTGTCATTAAAGAAGAAGAAAGAAGATAATAGCCATTAGCCAAGCATTGTCGGGACTGTTTTCCTGGAGATTCTGGTGGGACTAGGATAACTTCAGAGTTTCTCTGGCGTGTCTTCTTCTTAATCATAGGCAGGAAATCTGGAAATTCTATTTTCATGAGCTTTGGAGAAACAGATGTTTGTCATGTCATATTTAATAATTTGTTGATGCCTACACAAGAAATCCTTTATATTCCATTTTGTTCTCTTTTAATACAATATTCATGAAAACTCCATGATTTACCCAACCCTTTATAGTCATCACAAAACTTGGTTTCATTTCAATTCATTAAGAATATTGCATGTCGGCCAGGCGGTGGTGGCGTGTGCCTTTAATCCTAGCACTTGGGAGGCAGAGGCAGGCAGATCTCTGTGAGTTCGAAACCAACCTGGTCAACAAGAGCTAGTTTCCAGGACAGGCTCCAAAACCACAGAGAAACCCTGTCTCGAAAAAAAACAAAAAAACAAAAAAAACCAACAACAACAAAAAGAATATTGCATGTCATACATATATAAATCTAATCTACATGGGAAGTAGAAAAAGACAAGATCTCCTGAATAAATTGGGAGCATGGGGACCTTGGAGGAGGGTTGAAGGGGAGGGGAGAGGCAGAGAGGAGAGCAGAGAAAAATGTAGAGCTCAATAAAAATCAATTAAAAAAAGAATACTGCATGAAACTGCATTCGGCCTGCCTATAAGCAGTATGTGAGGTGCAGCGGTCCGATTAATAAATCACCAAGGTAATAGGTATTTGAACAAGTTTAATAACAAAACCAGACTCACGAAACCAAGGTTCCAGCGGAGTAGCCAGCGGAGACAGGAGAGGAAGGGAAGGGGCGCGCAGCCTCTGCCCGCCCAATATATCAGTAAACA